GAAACCGCTATCATCTATCATAGTCTGTTCAGCCCATACTAGAGCTCACTCTATCACCATCCAAGAGCGATACAGTCGATGAGTACACCGCTGTTGTTATAGATGTGGACGAAAAACAAGATAAGATGCAGAAAACTATTACTAATGTGATGAGCGATTTCAAGAAGGAATGTGCAGAGATGGAAGAGGAAAGGAAGAAGACGGCTGAGGAGAACACCATGTCAGTTACACTCTGGAAATACTCCTCACGAGTGACTGGATTTCGTGATATAGTTCAAATTGAATAATAACAGATTCTAAATCTACGGAAAATTCTCTATTGTATAGTCATTTCGGCTCCCTCCGTCTGCTTCGGACACTATATCACGGAAATCGGTCACCCGTGTTATATAATGATCCATGATCATTAAACAAAATCGTAACCTACGATTTGCAACGTCATCGAGGAATCCTCAACGACGTTACAATGGTCGCAATTTATTCAATTTATGCACAAGGTTTGATATCAATTGTGTTGCTTAGCTTTCTCGCTATTCCTGATCATTGTAACGGTTCTCCTCCTCGGCAGGCTTAGAGCGAAATTGAAAGGGTTCCTTGAAGACGTTAATGAACAGAGAACGGAGACTCAGACCAAACAGAAGATGATGGATGAACTTCTGGAACAGTATAAGAACACACATCACGAACAAAGCGAAACCATCAAAAAGTTATGTAACGAAGTAAGTGACCACCGCTCGTAGAAGTGTTGGAATACACGAGCGCATTCCTCAGCTGAGCTCAGGAGTTTATATGTACAGTGGGGAAGGAGTGTACAGAAACCAACGAGAATTTTCCATAATTTCGTCAGAAATTCTGAGAATTTTAAATTCTGACTCAGAATTTTCATATTGTCGCAAACACATGTAGTTGAGCATGTTACGTGCTGCATGTGCATATTTTCCCACACTGGCTCGTTGCTCGTTAGTTGAGCTCGCTTCGGCGAGTCAGCCTAAGAAAGGGAGCGATATCCCCGTCTCTCTGTGATCAGCGTGACTCACTAGTGTTGTGTGTGGAGAAACAACGAGAGGAGATAAAGGAGTACAGCATGAAGATCGACGATATGGGCGGCGTATTCGGCAAGTCGACTGAGGCGTTGAAGAAGCTCAAGTGAGAAGTTCGCCGTTTACACTCACCGCTGTTGATGACTATTTATTGAGATCATATACAGTTAGATGACCACACGAAGCGATCGCTAGCGTTGCGAGCCTCGCGATACGATCATCTTGATGCGAACTAATTGCGATCGACTGTGGTCGACAATCCTATTGTATTTTCTATGACTTGTGACTCTCGTGAAGTCGGAACTTTCCAACGATGCACAAAAGAGGGTCATTAGTCTTGTAAAACCTCTGGGGATAGTTCTTCAGTCATTATTTTGAAATATTGACTCACTAAATTGTGACTGCACTGATCGATTATATCAGCAACGCTACAGCCAGCACGCTTTGGGGACAGATATCTGTGTCAGCTGACACAATCAAAATATTCGTTTGATGTAGACAATCATCTGAAAATAGAGAACAAGAATAACTG